TTTTGAGCATTTGAATTGACCATTTACTTTTGTGTATTCTACACACAATTCATCATCACTTTGACATTTGTTCTTATCATTTATATACATACCAAATACACAAAATGAACATGAACAATTTTGTGTATATTCAAGACAATAATCAATTGGTTTGCATTTAGTACAACTCCCGTTTTCTTTCAAAGAATAATCAAATAAACATTCTTTGCATGTAAAGTTTTCTTCGTTGTATTCCAAACACCCATCATTTCCAGCTATGTGTCAATTATTATTATTATAATTTGTTTATTTTATCAAAATAATAAAATAAAATAATAAACAACAAACGAATACACATTTTGGTTGAATTGTCGAGTTTATATTCATCTTCACAAATTAAACAAGATCCATCATTTTCATATTGACAATGAGCGTCACCTTGATCTTAAGATTAATACATTTTTGTTCAAAATAAATTTAATTTGACAAACATATACACTGGCCATTCACTAATATATAATATGAAATACACTCTTCACAAATTTCTGGCGATTTAGAACATATAGAACACGAAGAGTGAAGACAGTCGGGGTTTGGATACATTCCGCCTCTTAAAAGAACAACAAATAAGAACAAAAACATCTGATATTTATTATAAAACTATTTGTTTTTATACAAAAAAATAAATACAAAATTAAATTCCGTATTCAATAAATTTCTATAATACAAGAAAATTATTGTTTGTAATAGATGTTTTGATTAAAAAATTTCTATTAAATTTTTCATTTACGATTCATAAGTAACATAATCATTTGTTTTCTAATTTTTATTATTTTTAAATTACTTTTCAAATTGTCGTATTTAGTAATAAAATTATATACTAGTTTATTATAAATGAATTTAAATTAAGATGTATTTTTTTAATAAAAAAACAAAACATTAAGAAAAGTTGAATGTTCAACTTTATTTGTATTATTTGCAAAAAAAACAAATATATGTATAAATATACAGTTTCTCGAGCCAGCCTAATGGGAAAAGCATACTTTCTGTGAATGAATTTAAAAATATAATTTATTTAATCATAACATTTTTAAAATAAAAAGTTAATTGTTAAAAAACAACTATGCAAAATATATGAATAAAAAGGCATTCGAAAATATATTTGTGAACATATTTTTTTAAATTTGAACATTGTCAATTTACTTAATAAAATTATTTGTTATTTATGTCAAAACTCACCACTTTTGTACTCAAAAATAACAATTAAATTCAAACTATTAAAACGTTTTCTTTTTAAATTTGCATCCAACTGAGTTAAATTTGTACAGATAGAGTATTTGATGAGTGACAAGAATAAAATGAGTGACAGATTTATTTTTAGTTATTTAATAATTCTTTTATAGAAATTGTTTTTTGTGAAAAACAAAAAACAAAAAACTATAAATAGAAAATAAAAAATAAAATCCCATTGTTTTCCATTAATTAATCCCTATTATTTGTCACACAATTTTTCTTTCATTTGTACTAATTTATAATAATCAAATTTAATATGTGGCTTGATCAGGCGTTTCCAAAATAATTATTACCGAAAATATGGTATTATTATTATCTCTATAACGTACGAATTTATAGAGAAAATGAACATTTTAATAATAAAATAGTGACGTGGGTAATTAGGATTGGGATTTTGGAAACTTCTGGCTTGATCAATTTATGTTTTTACAGTAATTAATTTAATCAAAATGTAACTATTTTTGAAAATAATATAAAACCAAAACGATTATTTTTGTTTGGTTTCAACTGTTTTGAGTAACTCATAAATTATATACGAAAATAATTAATTCGTTGAGTTTTGTTTGTTGTTTGATTTTAAAAATTATTGAAAAGTCTTCAATTGTTAAAAACCAATTAATAAAGATTTTTTGAAAAAAAGAACAATTTGGTATTGGTTATTATAATTAAATCAATTTTGTTTTTGCTGGACTTGAATATTTTAAGCTACTCAAAAATTATTGAGAATTATAATAATTAATTATTGTATTATTATAAAATAAAATTACAAACAAAATAATGTCAAAATTGTATGAAATTAATAATTTAATTTTTTAAATAAATTGTGTGCAAATTAAATAATTTAAAGAAACACAAACAAATAAATCTTCGTATGTATTTAACCAAATATTAAAAATACAAATGGAAGAAAATTTGATTTATAGAAACTAATTGGGTGAAAGAAAAAAAATAGCGATTAAATGATGTAAAAAAGTGGGATTTAATTTTTTATTTTTCATTTATTGTTTTTCACCAAATAACAATTTATATAAAAAATTATTAAATTACTTAAAATAAATTTGTCACCCATTAATTACTCTATTTGTTTCACAGTTTAAATAAACAACACAAATTTTTCAAATCAGTAGCATGATGATAATTTAGAATATTATAAAATTTTATTAAAACACGAACAATTAAAACAAACAGTCAAATAAAAAAACTATTGTTTTGAATACCAAATATATTAGTTCAACCAATACAACAATAATTAGTATATTTTCGTTCAAAAGTTTATTTTATACGAAAAACGAAAAATAATTTCAAAGATTACTGTTTTGATTTGACTAACAATGGTCAAAAACAATAAAATTCAGACAAAGAATTACAAATATAAAACATGATGACTCAAAAACAAAAAGAAAAAAACTTATAAAAATTAAAGTAAACAAAATAATAAATTATATGAATGATTTTATATTTTATTTTTTTTACATTATTAATTAACAAAGAGCCGAATGGATAGTCTTCATAAATGTTTTTGGTTCTTTATAACCCGTTTACAAATTTAGTTTACCAATTTATTGGAATAATATTTATATATCTGTTTCAAAGACAATTGAAATATATTACATTTTCTTGCTATAAAAAATTGCAACTGTTTATATAAATTTGTTGTTATGAGTATAATCATTATACCAGCCATATTATTCTTTTGTATAGCTCAGTCGACGCTGATATATTGCAATAATAATTCATCTTTAACATGTTTTGACACACAACCTAAAAATGTCGAATGTAATGTCGAACATTTTAAAGTTGTAAAAGATAAATTGTACATTGATGATTCTATAACAGATATTTACTGTTTAACTACAAAAACTTTGACTGTAGAATTCATTGTGAAGCCGAAGGAATTGACTGTATTTTTTGATAACAGTAGTTTAATATTAAAATACAACCAAACAGTCAATTACTTTAACAATGTCAAAAACTCGATATTTATTTACAAAAATTCAACATTTTTTAAGACCAATGAAACAAGAATCAGTTTATCTTCAGCAACAAAATTATCTTTAAAAGGGTGTGGCACAAATCAAGAATTAGACACAAATGGAAATTGTTGTCCCACAAATTGTAAAATAAAATCTTGTGATCCGAATGGTGGTCAATGTAATCAATGTGATGATGGTTACTTTTTGAGATATTCGATATGTAACCCATGTATAGACGGTTGTAACGATTGTCTTGGTCTATCGACTTGTCTTACTTGTAAAGTGGGATATTACATTACGGATGAATCCACGTGTCTACTGTGTAATACCGTAGATCCACATTGTATAAGTTGCACTAAAACTTCTTGCAACAATTGTGAAAATGGATACTATAATAGCATGGGATCATGTCAAATATGTCCAAGTTCATGCAAACAGTGTTCTACAGATAGTCCATCATGTTTATCATGTCCATCAAATTACGTTATTGTTGCATACCCTGCTGTTGGATGTGAGCCGTGTTCTTCTTTTGACCCAAATTGTAAAACGTGTGATTCAAGTTTTCGGAGGAGGTGTTATGAGTGCAATAAGGGGTATTACCCATCACAGTATACTGAAAAATGTGAACCCTGTTCTACAACTTGTGAATCGGATGGGTGTAACACGTTTAATGGTGTTTGTAATACATGTATCGATTTGTATACAAAACAAGAAACACCAAATCAATTGGATTGTGAACCATGTCCTAATTTAGATTCAAACTGTCAAACATGTTCAAAAACAACAAGAAAATGCAACACATGTAAAGCTGGTTATTACCCATTAACTGTGTCACCTTTTACATGTCAAGAATGCGATGAGACATGTGGAAACAATTGTGATCAACAGTATGGATATTGTACTTCGTGCAAACTTGGTTATGTATTAAAACTTGATAGCAATTCACTCAAATGTGAGTCGTGTCAATTATTTGATCCAAATTGCCAGACTTGTAAAGAAGATGGGGAGAGAAAGTGTCTGATTTGTAATAATAAGTACAAACCTGCCAGTAATGGGATTTGTATTAAATGTGATTCAACCTGTTTGGACAACTGTGATGGAACAAATGGAATTTGTACCAAGTGTACGAGTGGCTATGTTCCTTATAACCCAACACAGACAATCTGTCAACAATGCACTAAATTTGACGCAAATTGTATTCAATGTGCAACAAACAGCACTCGCACTTGTGTAAATTGTAAAAGCCAAATGTACCCATCTGCACAACAAAATGGCGATGTTATTTGCGTCAATTGTAGTTTAACGTGTGCTGATTGTGACACTACAAATGGTAACTGTAAAACATGTTCATTATCAAATTGGGTTGTTACAGAACCATTATCAATACAATGTGAAATGTGTTCCACTTTTGATTCGAATTGTGTGACGTGTTCTGTTGACTCAAGCCGTGTTTGTACAACATGTAAAAGCGGTCTTCGTCCAAACACAACAAGTGGGAAGTGTGTTGAATGTGGGTTGCACTGTGCATCTGGTGCGTGTGACCCAACGAGTGGGATTTGCAACCAGTGTGATGCAAATTACGTGTTTCAGAGCACAAAGACCGACCAATGTGAGAGTTGTTCGACATTTGACGCCAACTGCATCACATGCGCATCGGACTCAACTAGGAAGTGCAAACAATGTAAGGCAGGGTATTACTCGAAGACATCAGGCGATTTCAAGTGTCAGAGCTGTGATGTAACATGTGGTGGAAAGTGCGACAAGACAACTGGAATGTGTGCTGGGTGCCAAAGTGGGTATGTGCCAACATTACCAATTACAAATAAATGTGAGACGTGCCAAACTTTCGATTTGAACTGTGTTGAGTGTAAAACAAACCAAAGAAAGTGCATCAACTGTCAGAGTGGGATGTATCCAAACACAAATGGGATATGCACTCTGTGTGACACGACATGCAATGGACAGTGCAACGCATCAACTGGTGTCTGCACAAGGTGTGCTACAAACCACGTCTTTGATGACCCGCCAAACAAAGTGTGTGTTGCATGCAAATCATTTGACACAAACTGCAATAAATGTGCCTCTGATAACACGCGGCGATGTTACCAGTGCGAAGATGGATATTATCCGGCCAGTGATGGCGCGTGTGTCAGATGTGCATCTGGGTGTGCGACGTGCAGCCCAATCACAGGTGTGTGCTCAAAGTGTGTTGCCCAATATGTCCCAAGTCTGATTGACAAAAAGTTGTGTCTTTCATGCAATTCGTTTGATTCCAACTGCTTGCAATGTGCAACTACTTTTACCCGGACATGCACAACATGTAAAACGGAAGCGATGTATCCACAAAACGGAATATGTGTGCCATGTGATTCGCCGTGCAACGGAAAATGTGACCCAACCAACGGGAACTGTCGAAGCTGTTTGTCTGGAAATGTGTTGACAAGTCCTGTTTCAAAAGTGTGTGAGAGCTGCCAGACATTCGACAGTCACTGCCAAGCAAACTCGTGTGCATCAAATGGAAGCCGCATATGCACAAATTGTACAGCTGGCTACTTCCCACAAAGTGATGGGAGATGTGGACTGTGTGATACAACATGTGGCGGGATGTGTAACACAGTAAGTGGGGTGTGCACCGGCTGTTCGTCCAACCACGTCTACAACCCAAGCAACACAAAGACGTGCAGAACATGTTCTTTGCTTGATGCAAATTGTTCCATTTGCGACAGCAACTTTAGAAGTGAGAAGTGTGTTTCGTGTATAGCTGGTTATTACCCAGACAGCAATGGGAAGTGCATGTTGTGTGACAACACGTGTGGTGGTAAGTGTGATACTTCAACAGGTGTGTGCACTGGGTGTCTTGATGGGTACGTCAAGAACGGGATGAACTGCATCAGCTGTGCTGCCTTTAATGTGGATTGTGAGACGTGTGACAGCAATTATGAAAAGAAATGTACTGTCTGTAAGAACAACAAATACTCGGTGAATGGTGTCTGTGTGAAATGTGATGAAGTGTGTGATAACTGCGATGGTGTGACTGGGAAGTGTAAATCGTGCAGTGAAAACAGTGTTGTCCAGGCTGGCAGCACTGACACATGTGAAACTTGCAGCACATTTGACTCACTGTGTGTGACTTGTGCAAGTGATGCAACACGCAACTGTGTAAAATGCACAACAAATAATTACCCGGTTCTCCAATCAAATGGCGAGAAAAGATGCCAACAATGCGACACTACATGCAATGGAAACTGTAACACAGAAACGGGATACTGCAAAAGCTGCTTGTCAAACTACGTCTTTGTCAGTGCAACAAGTCTTGTCTGTGAGAATTGCACATCATTTGAAAAACACTGCACCACTTGTTCGCCAACACATGAGAGAAGATGTGTTACATGCAACACGGGTTATCGTTCTTTTAGTGATGGTAATTGTGTTTTGTGTGATTCTACATGTGCCAACAGTTGTGATGGAAGCACCGGAAACTGCCTATCGTGTAAAACTGGTTATGTGTTGTCTGCATCTCCGTCACAGAGATGCATAACATGTGAACAATTTGACATGTACTGTGCTGAATGTCCAGGTGGTGCAGAAAGAAAGTGCAAACAATGTAAGGCAGGGTATTACCCGAAGACATCAGGCGATTTTAAGTGCCAAAGCTGTGATGTAACATGTGGTGGACAATGCAATACGGTCAGCGGAATGTGTACTGGGTGCCAAAGTGGGTATGTGCCAGACAGTGTTGCATCGCTTCAATGTGTGGCTTGCCGAACTTTTGATACCAATTGTGTGAAATGTGTTGATAACAAAAGAGAGTGTGCAATATGTGATAACGGAATGTATCCAAACACAAATGGGAAATGTACTCTCTGTGACACAAGTTGCAATGGGCAGTGCAACGCATCAACTGGTGTCTGCACAAGCTGTGCTACAAACCACGTCTTTGATGACCCGCCAGACAAAGTGTGTGTTGCATGCAAATCATTTGACACAAACTGCATCACCTGTTCGCCAGACTTTTCGAGGAAGTGCAAAGTGTGTGTAATTGGGTTCTATCCCGATGATGCATCTGGCAAATGTGTTGCGTGTTCCACAATATCAAATTGTAATAGATGTTCATCTGAAACAAAGAAGTGTATGACTTGCAAAGATCCGTTTATTCAGAGAAGTGGTGGTTGTGAAATCTGTCCGATTGGCGAATACAAGTTCGGTGAAACAACATGTTCTGAGTGTTACAACAATGTTGATTTTTGTGACGAATGTCAAACAATTTCTGTTGGTCAAGTAAAATGCACCAAATGTATTTCTCCTTATGTTTTGAATGGCACCAAATGTGTTTTATGTGAAAATGGTTATATTTATGACAACACAAATGAAACACCCGTTTGTACCAAACTCGGTAATAATTGTGAATTGACGGATGATGCCAAAAATTGTATTTTATGTGGAGAAAAAAGCTTTATTTCTAATGGTAAATGTGTATCCTCCGAGACTTGTGAATCTCCATCTTTAACTTCGTGTGACTGTTCGGACCAAATATCTATCAACTCAATTTGTACAATTAAAATAGAATATTGTAAATACCAGAAATCGGAAAGAGGAATTGCAACATGTATTAATTGTGTTAATAATTATACTCTGAATGATGGAGGTGTTTGTGAACAACAAAACGTGTATGGGTTAGTTAGAAATGGAGTTGCTTTTGGTTGTAAAACTGGACAATATTTAACAACCGAAAACACGTGCGACAGTTGTGGTGCATCAAATGTTGTGTGTACAAATCAAAACTCGTTTTTGAAATGCGGTGATTCAAATATAAATGATATAGAACAACTAAAGTGTACAACCGATTTACAATGTGATTTGGTTCTCAATGAATTTTGTGTCCAATGCAAACAAAATGATATGGAAATAATACATGGAAAGTGTACAAGATGTCAAATAGAAAATTGTAAGCAATGTGTTGGTGGAATGTGTCAATTATGTAACGAGAACTACTTGATGTATAATAAAAATCGATGTGTAATAAACGAACAAGTCAACTGTGAACGTACAAGTCAATATGGGTGTGTTGAGTGTAAAAATGGTTATTACTCGGTTGATACAAAAAACACGGAAGATAATTACCAATTTTGCACCAAAATCACATTACAAAATTGCAAACACATTTCATTTGTAAATTCGTCTGAAATTTGTTTGGAGTGTCTTGACGCTTTCAAAATGAAAGATGGAATTTGTGCAGATAATTTTAATACAAAAGAAGATGATCATAAAGAAGAAAAACAAACACTTTATTCATCAAAAAGTGTTTTCAAAAAAGCAGAAAAAAGTGAATGCCAAACACGTAATAACAAAGGATGTCAACGATGTCCAAGTGGGTATTATTTGAACAAAAATAGTTGTGAAAAGTGTTCAAATGAATGTCTGAGTTGTTACAATGCAACTTATTGCATTTCGTGTAACAGTGGATACTTTCTTGATTCATCAATGAAATGCAGAACACTTGGTGAATTGGAAAAGAAGTGTGATGTAACATTGCCGACTGGTGGCGGATGTGCGATATGTAAAGTTGGGTATTACAAAGTCGAAAAAGATTGTAATGAGTGTGATAAATCCTGTGATATTTGTGTGAAAAAAGATGAGTGTTTGTCATGTAAAGAAGGTTACTTTAAAATCCCAAGTGAATCCAATAAACTATGTTTATCAAATACAACACTCTCAAATTGTTTAGAGTCAAATTTTGAAGGGTGTGAATCGTGTGAAAATTCTTATTATTTACAAAACGGTCGTTGTCTAAATTGTGAAGAAAACTGTTTAAAATGTTATAATGCAGATGAATGCATATCTTGTGCAAACGAATACATCTTAAGCAATGGAAAATGTGTATATTATTCTACAATAGTTAATTGTATTTTATCAAATGATTCGAAATGCATCAAATGTGACAAAAATTCAATACCGTCTGATGATGGAGATTCTTGTATTTTTCAAACAAATTACGGACTTGTTGTTGGCACTCCCATTTCGATTGTGATAGTACTTATCATCATCTTTGTCATACTCTTTTTCGTCTTTTTCAAAATCTACCAGACAAACAAAAAGCGCAAAGATTTAAAGAATATTTGCACCTTTGACATGAGTCGGTCTAACGTTGAAATGGTATCAATGAATAACAACTTGTGTACAAACAAACCAGTTTTAAAGTTCGATTTAGATGATATTGAGCAAATACCAGTAGATTCAGAGACTCGCGACTTAGTCTGTGTTGGTAACACATCAAAACACAAAATGAAGATTCAATTTAGTGTATTAGAAGGGTGTGACAACTATAAGATACGTACAACACCTTCACTTGTAACTTTAAAGAAAGGAGAAGCGTGTGAATTTGAGATATTTATCGAACCGTTGTGTTCATGTCATTTAGAAGAAGACATTATGGTTATTGCACTTGACATAGAAACTGGTGTACAGTACAACGAGAAGATCCAAATCGAAGTTTTGACTGAAAACTCGACAAAATTGAATTACAAAGAACTCAACGAAGAAAAGAAAATTGGCGAAGGTTCTTTTGGTATAGTCTACAAAGGTAATTACAGAGGAAATACAGTGGCAATTAAGAGAATGAAAGAGTCGACTGGAGAAAACAATGATATGACTGAGTTTACAAAAGAAGTAACAATGTTGGACAAATTTAGAAGTGATTACATTGTTCATTTTTATGGCGCTGTATTTATTCCCAACAAAGTGTGTATGGTCACTGAATTTGCACAATTTGGGTCTTTACAGGATTTGATGAAGAACAAAAAGACGAGTGAAATATCAAATAAGTTGCGGGTAAAAATTGGTATAGATGCAGCAAAGGGTATTTTATATTTACATGAAAATGGCATCTTACACAGAGATATCAAACCAGACAACATCTTAGTTGTTTCTTTGGATATAAACGTTACTATTAATGGAAAGTTGACTGATTTCGGGTCATCTAGAAATGTTAATCTGTTGACGACGAACATGACATTCACTAAAGGGATTGGCACACCAGTATACATGGCTCCTGAAGTATTGAGTCAACAGAAGTACAAAAGAGCGGCAGATGTTTACTCATTTGGAGTGACAATGTATGAAACATTTAAATGGGGTGAAGCTTACGATAAAGAACGGTTCAGATTCCCTTGGAAAATAGCAGAATTTGTAATGTCTGGAAAACGCCTCGAGAAACATGAAATAATGTCTGAAGAAGTATACCTTGTTATTAAAAAATGTTGGTGTCATGCACCAATTGACAGAATTGAAATAGAAGAGGTTGTTAAAATCCTTGAGTTAATTAATTCTGTGTGATTTTTTTTATTTTGCAAAATAAAAAATAACAAGAGTGTTGAGACTAATATAATACAAGTAATTAATATTTATTTTACTGGCGCATCACTTCAAATAAAACATGTGATTGTTCATATAACTTTTTAACTCCTTTTCATTTTAGTTTTCAGCATTTCGACAACTGATTCAATAGGAACAAGGTCACGCTTCTTTTGAGTCCAACACTGTTTGATGATTTCAAAATAGGGTTCTGGAATATTGCTATCTCTTTCAACACGTTTTCCAGCTGATATGAAGTCTGCGATTGACCAAGCAAATTGGAAATCCTTTTTGGGGTATATTTCACCCCATTTGAAACACTCAAACATTGTTACAGCAAATGAATAGACGTCCGCCTCTTTCTTGTATTTCTCCCTGTTGAGTATTTCAGGCGCCATATACTTTGGTGTGCCAACACCTTTTGTGAATGTCATGTTAGTCATCAATAAATTGACATTTCTTGCACTCCCGAAATCAGTCAATTTTGCATTGACTTTGTCTTTTTTATTCAATGAAAACACAAGAAAGTTGTCGGGTTTGATGTCTCTGTGTAAGATGCCATTTATGTGCAAATATTAAATACCCTTTTGCAGAGTCCAACATCATCTTTAGTCGAGTTTGCATGTCAACTTCATTTGATTGTTTATGTTTCATCAAGTCTTGTAAACTCCCATAATTCGCAAATTCGGTGACCAAACAAATTTTGTTTGGTATAAAAATAGCACCATAAAAGTGGACTATATAATCGCATCTGAATTTGTCCAACATTGCAACCTCCTTCTCAAATTCGTCAAGCGACTTTTGGTCATCTGTGAACTGTTTCATCTTCTTGATGGCAACGGTGTTGCTTCTGAAGGTTCCTTTATAAACAATACCAAACGAACCTTCGCCAAGCTTCTTCTCTTCTTCCAATTCATCAGGATCAAGTCGTGTTGAAAGTTGTGTTTTTGCTTTGATATTAATGTGCATATTTGAAATTTCACCTTTCTTCAAATTGGAAGATACCAACACAATGATGTCATCAATTTGGCAACTGCATAATGGCTTCAGAAACAATTCAAACTCGATTGCTTTACCTTTTAGTATTGTTGCTATGTTTGGTGAAGTTCGAATTGTATATTTGTAGCAATTCTCTTTTGTTGAAAATTGGACTTTAATTGTGTTGTTGCCACTATTACCAACACATATGAGTTCACGACTCTCTTCATTCACTGATATTTCCTTATTGTCTTCGTTGCTTTCAAACACAATTGCATTGATATTAACAACAACATCGGGTATATCAGTTTTCTCAAAAGTGATGTTTGATTTGCTGATAGTAAAAAGACATGTCTTCTTCCTTTTTTCGTGTTCTTTCTTCTTTTTAAGTATTTGTAATGTAATAAAAATAGTCACCATAAACACTACAAATAGTACAAGAATAATGAGAAAAACGCCAATAAAAATAACCCACCAAACTGCTTTCTTTGCACACGAAGTGCCATCAGAAGACGGGGCGTACCAAAATTTACATGTTGAACATTTGGAATTTTCAACTTTAATGCACTGACTAACATTACTTCCTATAGTACATTCGGAGTTGATTAAGATGTAATTTGGAGAGCACGAAGTGCACACACCAACAGAATTACACTTATCACAATTTGACTTTGTGGAATTACAAGACACACATAACTGACTTTTCACATAATAACCAGTTGAACATTGTGAACACCCATTTTGAGTTTTTGTTTCGCAGTTTGTTAGAGTTTCGTATGGAATGCATTGATTCCCTTCAGTGACAAGAAATGTGTTTTTTTGCATTTTAAACATGTGTTTTTCTGGTTGCATTCATCACAGTTGTCAATACAATTCTGGCATTGACCCTTGTCGTTTCTGAAGTATTTTTGATCACAAATTGCACATATGAAAAGTCGGTTTATCATTTTCTTGCAATTTTCCATTTGTGTTGTTGATGTCGTACAAGTACAGTTACTTGAAACTGAGAAACCGCCTTCACATTCAATACACAAAGTTGTATTGATACAAGTCATACAATTATTAGGACAATTTAAACACGTTCCATCACTGAGATAATGTTTGCTGGCACAGCGAATACACTTCCCATTGTTATTGTTGATAATGTCACAATTTTCTGTTTGATTACTTGACAAACCAACACATGTTTGATTTGATGTGAAATAATACCCTTCATTACAAGACACGCATTTTCCATTTGACGTTGCTATTTTACAATTCGAAATCTCACTACAAACGCCATTTGATTCTGAAATGTAATTTGAATGATTTTGGCAACCCGAACAATATGTGTTTGGTGATGAAACACACCCACTTGATTCAAAAGCAATGCAGCTACCATCACAATCTAATACTCCCAAGTTTGAGCATTTTTCACACCTTTTGTCATCACACACATCACACAACTCCCCATATTTGGACGAACATTCGACACAGGTGCCATTGTTTGAATAGTATGAATCTGAACATAATATAAACTTTTCTCCTATGACAATTTCACCATCAGGTAAAGGTGCACATTCATTCTTTTCATTCAAAATATGAGTATTTTTGCATGATAAACAAAATTCAAACGTTTCACAATACAAACAATGATCAGAGCATTTATGACACTTATCAAATGTATTGTAATAGCCCGCTGAACATTTCAAAACTTTCTGTTTTGTATAAAACTCAACTTTTGTTGTTGTTTTATTAATTTCAACACAGTTACATTCTGAATCGTAAGAGTATTTGTCTTCACATAAAACACATTTTTGGTTCACACATCGCTTGCAGTTGTTTGGGCAATCTAAACAATCATTTCGATATGCCTCTTGTTTAATATTACATTGTTCACACACTTGTGTTGTATCACTTGACGATATATTTGCACAGGAAACGTAGATTCCAAAACACATCCCATCTTTTAAATACATATTTTGTTTGCATAGTACACACATATAATCCCCATTTATCGAAGTTTTGTATGCTTTACAATTATAAAACGTTGAAAAATGAATTGTATTGTTATTAGAATTTGGCTGAAAAAGATATTTGGATGAGATAAACAGTTTGTCGACTTTTTGTGCTAGAGTAACACTTGCACCATTAACAGATTTGTTGTTGATATAAAGAACACCACTCTTAATATCTTTGAAGTGTGTTGAATAATTAGTTGTTATTGTCAAGTTCAAAACATTCACTTCTTGTTGTAAATTACCTATAAATGTATCATTTATTGTTACATTCATCGTATTTACTTTCACGGTACACAATGTTTCGTTTAATGGGCAGTGATACAAGTAATATTTGTAGTTACGATAGTCGTAAAAATTGTTTCGGTTTAAAGTGCATTTAACCTCAGTTTTATGGTCATCTGTTGAATTGCAGACTCTCAATAATTTACCACCTCTAAGTAAACTCAATTGATTTGCATTCCAATTGGGTTTGTATCGAAAAGAAATCACATCAATGCAAAACTCTTTATAATCGAATGTATATAATTCGTTTGTACTATTCATTAGAACTGAACAGCCATTAACATTTATCAAAGGCATAACATCAATGTTTGTTGTTGTCAAATTAAAAAACCCAAGACTCTCGCTTTTGAAAGACAAAAGTCCACTTTTCACTGTTATATGACTGTTATTGTTGAGTACTAATTTTCCATAAACATTAAAATTAATATTCATTGTCAAATGATCGTAAACAACAACATCCATTGCATTTATATAATATATGCCATTGTTTGTATCAAGTACACATATAGAAGTAAAATTGATTAGTTTCCATTTAATATTAATTTGATCTGTCATATAAACAGTATAATTAATAATTAGATTCAGTTGCCAATTATAATTGTATCCATACATTTTACAATCACTATCACTCATAATAAATGATTTTTCTGATTTAAAATTGCCATGTTTATACTCACAGTTACATGGTATATTCAACGAAGTCGATAAGTAAACTCTGCTTCCACACACTGATAATTTGTTTGTTGATCCCTCTAATAATCCTTTTAAATAAAACAACACCATATCATTAGTACTTGAAATTATATTATCGACAGTCAACCCATAATCAAAATATGTCTGAGAAGGTGAATTGACTTCGAGTGTTATTATTTCAACTGGTAGTCGAAAGAATATACTTGTGTCTTTATCCAGAACAAGTGAGTTCAATTTTAGAACAGAATTTGTACTATTACTGGTCAATGTGTAACTTTTTTGAAGTGATATTATAATAGTATTCCATTCAAATACAAAAAGTGTGTAATTTATTGAATCTCCTGATAATTTTGACAAATCCAAATCAAGATACGTGCTGTTATAATCACAGTCAGGGTATGTAAAGTTGCTTGAATATGTTAAATTACCATTGTTGGGCACACATCCACACAAATTGATATTAACACCTCCTGTTATTTCATTTTCTTTAAACAGCATTATACGTTTGAAATTGCTTCTAGTACACACTGCTTTAGCAACCCAACCATCCGAAGAACTTCTTTTTGTGAAAGTGACTCGACTTTCATCAACTTGAGAAGACCCACTAAACAAGTAACGCGACCCAGAATAGACACTTTCCCAAGCAGACATATCACTGAAATTAAAATTGACTGTTTGGGAGACCAATCCATCAACATGGACATATGGAATGGAAGTCAGGTTTCTTCTTAGCCAAATGTCAAAGCGTTGATCAATATCAGAAAACAGTGAAACCGAACGTAACTCAAGTCCTATTATGGGCTTTGTATCATCATAAACCTCTTTTCGACAAACTTGTTCTTTGTTGAAACAGCCAAAAGATATGAAAAATGGTTGATATCTTGAATCTTCATAGAAGTCGTAAAGTGTATTTGGATTGTATTCTCTAATGAAAAATGTTTTAAAATTGGACATGTTACCTTGGAACCGAAAATACTTTGGGTAATTTTGAGCATAAGTTCCTGTATTTGCTAAAGTCTTTGTGTTATTTATACAACAATAAAAATCAAAGCTGAAATAGTCATATTCGTTTTCATCTGTTAAATGTAACCACCCCTGTTTAAGACATGTTTCAAATACACCATAACTTATAATCCCATTTGAGTCGTCGCACCATACATATGATGATATAACTGCAATTGTCAGTAATGTTATTGTTAAATACATTTAATTTTGAATTAAGGGATTCATGAGGATTGTTAATTTTTCTGAGGATGGTAAATATCTTAAACATAATTTCTTTCAATTTAGATTTTTTTGCCTAAGATCAAAAAGGTATATTTTGAAACACATGATTTTCTTTAAAAATGCTATTTATGGATTTTTTGAAAGATGATTCTTTCAGTTGATTTTTAAAAAAAAATAATCTATTTCTATTTTCTGATTTACCACAAGATTAACCTTGGTTTAAATGAAAACATTTGACAGACATTTAAATTATCGAAAAAGTCGATTTTTTAATCAAAATCACAAAAAAATTAATTGAACAATTTTAAATCTTTTTCACAAAAAAACACAATTTATTACAAATCAATTTATGATATTTCAAACAATAAAAATTAATAGCAAATAACGTATTAATAACGTATACTCTATGCGATGACAATTTATGTATTTGCGCAAATTCAAAACGCGAGGTTTTGAAGATCGATAAAACAACGATTGATAAATAAACAAATTTTTAAAATAAAATCATTTTTGTTTTAAACGGTTTTATTTATATTTCAAAACATATATACACAAGAAATATATGTTTATATTATTTTTTATACAATATTAATTTCAATAAATGTATCTTCAATTTATTAATCAATTTTATATATTAATTGGCGTTTTTGTTGTGTTTTGATGATTTTTGATATAATCAATTATCAAAACTCACTTTATAAAAATTCTTTGATAATTTTATTTATAGAATTTTAAATCAATAGTGGCAGTGCTATAAATATCTCTGAGGATGGTAAGTCGTGTAACAAACAGACTTTATCAACACAGACTTAAACATCTAAAAAGTGAAATGACGTGTTCCCATATTCAAAAATAGTAACTTACTCAATATACATTTCAGACAGATGTAAAAGTGTAAACTTTCTATTTCTGTCATCCTCAGAAAATAATTGCCATCCTCAGAACTGTATATTTGTTTAAAACACAAGTTAATATCAAAATGAAACAATCATATTAAAATATACACAATATGATTAACTTTGTTATTATAATAAATTTGAATAATTGCATAAATTACAAAATTATTAATAAATTTGTTATTTTAAAATCACATTTTTAGAAAATCAGTGTTTTCGACTTTTTCAATTTTCATTTCGATTATCAATTTATTGCAAATATTCAAAAAACGAACACAACGATAATTGAATTATTTACTTGGTATGAATTGTTCTTTATTACCAAAATTTAAACCACTTGATAAATAATCATCTACAAATTTTTGAAAATGACTGAAAGTAAGTTTACCAAGTACTTTTGGTATTTCTTCGTTCTGATTAATTAAAATTGAATAAATATAAAACAGTACAAATCGACCACAATCTGTTCCATTCTCTTGGTAAACAACATCAGTAATTAATATTGCATTTTCAATTTTGTGTTTTTCAATCGAAAATCCCATAAGACAAGAAAAAAATGTTTTTATTTTGTCCAAATAATAAATTTGCGTATTGAAATTGTATTTTTCAATTCCAAGACTATCCACGATAAATGATTCAAATCCATCATCATGTTTATGTAAAATTAATAGAGACCAATGGCCATTTGTACGTAGACCGGAGAATAAAGGGAAAAATATGTATTTTTGGTTTAAATAACAATCCAAGTTTCTGTGACTGTTTATTAAGGAATTATCATTATTTGTTTTGTCAAATGTATTAAAAATGCTTTCAAAGAAAAATGTAGATGCTACAATAGAATTATCAGTGTGTACATAATTCAAAATTTGAGATGATAGACACAAGATGTCGTCATCATTTAATTTTCCGTTTTTAACACGATAAATTGGATCTGTCTCTTTAAATGTTTCTGTTTCATCACATAAAAACGTTTTTTTATCCAAATCAAATGAAATATCACTAACATTATCATTGCAGTCTATTATTTGGTTGGTTTTCTGTGTTTCCTCTATTAAAGACTTACAATTTGATAGTTGTGTATTATTTATTATTGATATTTCATTTTCTACTGACTTGTGACTATTGTTATTCGTTG